AGCCTGTTATCTAAAAATTGCAAGAGATTTTTTTCATATTTTGGCGAATGAGCCCGAGTCCGAAGGAGGAGGTTCTGTTGTTTCAAACAGTTGGATATTTCTTCCATGTCCTTGCTTGCTGTTGACATTATAATCTTGAACCTATATATAGGTTTCTTCAGTTGTGGCAGCTGTACGGTGTAGTTTCCCTCAGTGTCTTGTTCTTGAATTGTTTGCAATAATTTCTGGCATTCTTGTTCGCTACTTTACAGTTTATTATGCCACAACCCCATTTTTCGCGGTCTTAACAGAATTAATGCTAATATTCAATTCGATCGGATGAATTTTTAATTGAAGATCGGCTTTAGTAACTCATAAGTACTGGAGGAACATTCTTGGGAGTATGAGGTCGAATTGGCGTTATCGGCAGAGCAGGAATGGAAGCGACACTTGCATAAGATTTGGTACATATTCTATCTTCTTTATTTGTTCTTGTAGTATATCAATTATCATTTGTTTATCTGTTATAATTGTGTTTTTGTCTATAGAATTGTGTTTTTGAGAAACTCTATAAAGTCATTCGCTCTACAGTATTTGCAAAAGAAGTTAAGTTGTCGTTCTGCAAGAGGCATGCATCTTACCTCAGATGTTGTTAGTTCAGACTTCAGAGCAATCTCTACAGTAATATGTGTTGCACGAATCACAGGCAAAGACGTAAATTTTGTCCCTCTTGTTTTGTTTTTGTTTGCACTTTATGCAGGTATTATCACCCATGGTTATTTCTCCTCATAGATAGGAGAACTCTTCACTCGAGTTGGCAACAGCGCCTGCCACCAGCGACTGCCACCTGATCAAAAGATCAACCCCCAAGTAAGCTTATATTCGATCTATATTGCTCTGGTTCTAAATTTAATAACTGGATTGCGCTGCCGAAACTAGTATTTAGAATTCGTTCAAGGATGCGATGAACTAAGACGCCGTATATACTTCTACTTCGCTGAACTTAATCTTTCAACAACATCATTGAGCGAATTTAACTGAAGTATGTTGGAGGTTTAGCCAAATCAATTTTCTGATAATAAAACACACATTTTCATAATTTGTTTATACCTACCTTATAATGGGTAACCATGAGAAAAACGAGCAGCGACATCATCGGAACGAGAATATTGAATGTATTAAATATAAATATTATCTTTCTGAATTGACTCGGTCGTTATACTTGATGCGGAAATCCAAAGTAAATGTGAAAAACTTCACAAAAGATGAGTTTTCAACAAAATTCTTAATAACACTAGATGTTTCGCTGACACAGTAGCTTCTTCAGGTGAAATAGTGCGGTAAAATGACGTAAACGCATTGATATCATCATCTTTCATTTCCTATACTTTCCCAGTTTCTCAACCTATAAAGGATTAAAATACCCGTCGCTGAACTATATTGTCGATCTAAATAAAAACCTGGGTGAGGTGAAGGCGACCTATGGCTGAACCTTCATTTTCGGAAGGTTGGCGCTAACAAAGAGACAATAAAAAATATCCGGAGAAATATAGGAAAATCAGTCTTATGAATTTGAAAAATTTAATACCTACTTATTCTGTCACGTCTTGGTGTCCTTTCTATACACTTTTCCAAGCATCGAAATATAGTCCGGAACCGATTCATCTCCCCTTAATATGCCCCAACATGCATGAGTGATATAACAGGGATATATATGCGGATATGTCGTCATGTAAACAGGAAGTGGGATCATGATTGATGGGAATATCGTCGGGAGCGTGCCTCCGGCTCATATTATGAACGCCTGTATATATATACGGGCAAGAACAAGATCCGTGAGGATCCGGGACCGACAGGGAAAAAACGGAAAGGATAATATTCTGATGTGGGAACAAAGCGGCGTGCATAAATTCGATTCTGAACAATTTGTAAATATTATTTTCAATACTGGGGTAAAACGAAATCATTATTGGACAGGGCGACACTCCGTTATTGTTTTTTATATTTGACTCCTGATGATGATATTTAGAACGAACATTATAGTCATTATATATAGGTATTCCAGATTTTTTGGGATTTTCTCTCCTCGTTTCTATAAAATAAAAATATGAATATTATTTCAATATACATATATATAAATCAGATGATTTGCCCCAAAATGTCACTGCGTTTGAAGAATTTTTCTACGATTTTTCACAATACGATGAATTCTGATTTGTTATCGATTTTGTTCTTCTTGTTCGCAATTGGCATTCGCGTTTGCAGCGTGTCACGCTTACATCACGCTGCTAACGAACAGAAAGGAATTTGGTGAAGTTTATTGTGTTAGAAGACTTATTTAGTTTGTAATAATGACCATCAGATGCAAGATGTGTTGTTCGGTGCCTCAGTGTAATCAATATATAAAAGTACGAATTTATCAATACACACAGCTTCTCCGCAGTTGCAAAATTATGCATTGTGGAGAACATTTCAAAAATTGGGAAACCTATTTCCAATTATATGTCTGTGTGTAGTAAGCACTACTCAGAAACCGATTAAGATGGTAATTTCATATCAAGAAAATATTGTATGTTCAATCTATTTTTAATGCATTTTTTCATTCAAGGGAAATGGAATCCTAATGCAAAAGTTCATTTTGACAAAAGGCTTCAGAAAAGTACCTCGAAAATGGTTTTTTACAGCCATTTAATGTGCGCAAGACGCGTTGAAAATGTTTTGTTGTGTCCATTTAAAAAAGGCTTTAAAAAGAACTAGCGGGAGAAGGTAGTTTTATGACATATCAAGGACATCTGCCGCCTGCGACGGACATTGGCTGTTCTATAATAGTTCTATTCATGTGTGAACAGAACATCGCAGTGGAAGTTCAATGTCTCGAAATCTCGTACTTTTAACATCTCTGAGATGTTGTTGTGCTCGCTGGGGTGTATAGAAAAAAGTTTGGAGAAGAGAAATAAAGGTACCTATATAGAAAAAATATCAAATTTTCACTTAGGTTTGGACGTTTCGGGAACGAACCTGCTCCCATTTTCAACACAAAAAATGGATTTTTTTTGTCCTGACACTTTTCAGTTCTCAGTGATAATTGGTGACGTTGGCAATCAAATGAGAGTTATACAGGATGTTTCAATTAATTAATATAGAGTCCCTTGGAACCCATCTTTTTCATGCATGAAAAAACAATTGAATATCACCACCGATTTTACCAGAAATTGACCTATATATGTATGGGTCGAGAATTTTGAATGGGGCATTGTATGGATAGAGCGCAAAATTCCCTTTTAAATGATCATATCATAGGTACAGCTTGACCATTCTAGCTTGGCCGCTGAGATGCGCAAACGATAAACAGATATGGTTATAGTGTGCGACAAAGATCCACTACACCTTTTTATTGGGAAGTACAATCGTACTGTAGGTACTGTTCTAACCGATGTTCACTGAACCAATTCCTCGGCAATAATCAGCTCTCGCCCCATACTCCGCCGACTGGTCTACTGCGCATCCAATGGGGAAGACCACTGAGAGAAGAAATCCGTGCAAACCTCTTTCAATCGACGAATCATGATTAACGTTTGATGTACAATCAATATTATGAGTTAAAGTTGAAGGGAATCGTATCTATATCGTTTTGAAATCAGCATATTTCATTCGAATTTCAAACAGCCAAATATGATGATGGAGTCGTGACGTATTAGTCCCGAACTGTAGCTATCCCTCTCTGATATATCGTCATTCTGCAGTGTTGCAGCGTGATTGGTCAGTTCAAGGACAATAGGCGTGTTGGGAATAAGACGTCGCACCAGTCACACCAATGAATTGACAAAATTTCAAATGGCGCAGGAATTGTGTGTTTTGAAATGGACATATTCTAATTTATTTTTTCCATCGTCCTAGCATGAATGACAAAATTCAAAATTAACTCGCTGGTAGTTTTTCAGTATAGACTTCACGATAATGTCATTTTAAAAAATCAGTGGTCTCCCCCCCAAGCTATAGGATGGTCAAGCTGTAAGTGGACATTTAGTTTTAAAATGGCGGTGCAGGAGAAGTCATCTTAAGTACACTTTTGATTTCAATTTGCATTACATTTTCTTCATATAGACCCATATACAGTGTGACCCACTTCTAATGGAAACACCACTGTAGGTATATCTCACGTAATCGTTGGGTATAAGGATCCTGAAATTTTCCGGAGCGAGAGATATACCAAAAATGCACTCTATGACCAAGTGGGGTCACCTTTAGTGATATACACTGCTCGCCAACAGCCAATGGATCCACTCCAATTTCCGGAAAATGATATTAGGGGTCAAAATAGGTTAACAATCAGATCGGATTCGGAATCAGGACGCCCAATTCACTAACTATTCATAATTTTCCTAGAATTTTCAGTTCAGAAGAAATAAATTTTGTCTCACTTCTCATGATGGAAAAACCCCCGTATCTCACGTAATTATTGAGGTAGGGTCCTGAAATTTACAGGAGGAAGGGAAAGTCCAAAGATAAAGCCAATTACGTAAGATACGGGGGTGCTTCCCTAAAAAGTGCGACAAAATTTAATTTTTCTGAACTGAAAATTTTACAGAAAAAATATGAATAGTTAGTGTTAGTTAGTGAATTGGGCATCCTGATTCCGAATCTGAAGTGATATTCGACCTATTTTGACTCCTAATATCATTCTCCTGAAATTGGGGTGGTTCCATGGCTATTGGCGAGCAGTGTATATCACTGAAGATGACCCCACTTGGTCATAGAGTGCATTTTCGGTATATCTCTCACTCCAGCAAATTTCAGGATCCTTACCCAACGATTACGTGAGATACAAGGGTGCATGTATGCCAGGGGTGCTCAGACTTACAGTGCCGGCGATCTGTCACAAAATATCTAGGTTAAAAGCGATCGACCAACTTAATGTTTCTAAAAAAAACATACATATAAGAATAAGACACAAAATGTCAATTACTCTCTGGACTACACTGAGTGTATGCGGTGGACATATAATATGGTGTGCTACTTACTTGCGAAGCGGGGATCGGCCGCCGAGGTCTGGTACCAGCCTCCCGAGTATGGAGCGCCGAGGCCGAGGTTCTCGGAGACGGGGCAGTACTGCCCGCCCCCGAACTGGCCCATCACCGGGTACCCGCCGTTCATGCTGCACGCGCCGCCGCCACTGCCCGCGCCTATTCCGGGGGAGGTGATGCTGCTGCCGCTGGATGTCGATCTGCAACAATCCGATAATAATAATAACAATAATTTATTTCCACAAATAAATGTGTATACATATACCCATATCCCCGAGTACGCAATAATATTAGTCCAGTACCTAGTTATAGCACCCATGAAGAAAACTTGTTATGGGTGTTAGCATCTAGCAACTAGATGCGCTACTGCTCAGTGGAATGTGCTTAGATCAGAGCCTATGACAGACGTGTGTGAAGACTGGCTCATATAGTAGTATTCGGCAGGCAGCCGAGTTGTGAGCAAGTGTAACCCTGGTCCACGTCATTTGTGCTCGTGTTTACTGAATTATGACCATAATATAACAATGGGTATGTTTAATAAAAGTTTGAATCGACATATATGTACGTACAGTGTGGTCATTTAAGTGTGCAACATATGGGCCTCTTTTTAACGTATTGCACAACCAAAATACAGATAGTATCGAAAGTTGATGCATGTTCGGTAATCATTTTAGGTGCACTTAGAATGGTTGCAAGTCAAACAGCATTCAGGTTAGGTCAAAAAGTATAAAAATTGCTCAAGAGTAAAGTACCCTAATTTCAAAAAATTCAGCAGAATGTTTAAGAGAAAAGTTGTTTCCAATTGAGAGTTATGCCTAAATACCAAAACATGGCATCCTAAGACATATTTTAGTATTCAAATTAAATTTACCCTAAACACTTTCATGAGTTATAATCATAACCAAATCACTATGAGCATACCTTTGTTCAAATTCAAGCATATTGTTTAAGAGAAAACTAGCTAGCAGAGAACTTAGCTGGGGAGGCAAGCCATACGATGGAAGCTTGGCGAGGAGTCCGTGGTGCCAGACTCTATCGAATTCTTTGGAGATATCAAGTACCACGACTATAAGGTTTATTCACCATATTTTTCAATAGATTGCTGCCATATAATTATGTGAGACGTAAGCGAGCAGGTCACCAGTTGATCTCTGATGACGGAAGCCATATTGCCTATCATTGATAACACCTGATGAATGTTCCAGGTATTTCATGAGCTCGATGTTGATAGCTTTCTCCATGATCTTTGAAATAATAGATATAGCAGTGCGATCGGTCTGTTTGCTAGGTATAGGGTCTTTTTGCCTTTTTTAGGAATTGGTTGTACTCTTGCAATTTTCCAGTTGGACAGAAATATCCCCAATTTGTAAAAGAAGTTGAACAACTTGCAAAAAACAGGTGTTAGTTCGGGAGCAAATTTTTTGAGAACAATCGGTGGGATTCCGTCGTAGCCACAAGCTTTGTTGGTGTTGAGACCCAATAAAATCTTCCTTATAGTACGTTGGCGAAAGGTGATCTCGGGCATATGACTGTCAATTGGCGTTATGTTTGGAGTTTGTTTTCCCGATGAATCCAGAGTGGAATTTCCAGCAAATAAATGCGCAAAAATGTTGGCTTTCTCCTGTGCAGTTGTGGCTATAGTGTTCCATCTTCCTTATTGGTTAGAGGAGGAAACGAGCTGGAAGTGAAGTTTCTTCCTACAGCTTTGGCGAAGGACCAAAATGAACGGAAATCGATGACAATTCCGGTGCATCAGTTTTTTAGAATAATATGGGTTTAATAATGGAAATATATCGAAACACGACGAACCTGTAGGGCGACGGCGGATTGGTAGCCAGCTCCAACTTCCTGTAGGACTCCTCGATGGGACTCAGGATGTCCGTGACGCTGAACGGCGTCGAGTGGTGGTGGTGGTGCTGGTGCAGCTGCTGCAGGTGGTGGCTGAGCGCCTGCTGGCCTGTCTGCTGGTGGTGGAGGTGCTTGGGACTGAGGCTCATCGCCAGCTCGACGCCATTGAGCTCGGGCAGCACGAGGCCGTGCAGGTCGGGTCTGTCGCCGCCACCTTGAGGGGGTACCGCGGGGCCTTCCCCGTAGCTGCCACCTGGGGGTTAGGGAACGACCGGTGAGGTTGTGTTTTAGCTTTATGATATAGATATCTATCCGCATCGAAATGGGTTTGTATACAGGCAAAAAAGGTGTGCAAGAGAAGAAATGAGAAGGATGGTTATTCGAGAAAATCACGAAAATGGGAAGCCTCTGTGCATTTTTCAGTTTTCAGTGCCTTCCTATAGTGCTTCCTAGTGCGTGTACGTACATTCGGTACGCACAATTATCCTTTCAGGGATACATAAAAAAGTCCTGCTTAGTTATATATATATGAATATAATATAATATCAAACATTCAATCAGTTTGGTTTGAGAGAGGGCATTTCGACTCAGGACGCTATCTCGTCATTTACTTCAAAAGTAGTTGAAGCTCTATAAATGAGAGCAAGCCATCTCTCTGTGTGACACTGTCAGTCATCACCTCCTTCTGCAGTCCCTATTATAGAAGATATTGGAATACGAAATAACATACTGAAATTACTTGAGAGCTACTTGAGCGAAAGATATCAAATGGTAAGAATTGACGATACTTTGAACAATGATCAGGTCATCGACTGCGGAGTACCTCAAGGCTCCGTGCTAGGCCCAACATCATTTAACATATATACTGATGGATTGTTTTCTCTTGGTAATGATGGAAATATTGTCGGATTCGCAGATGCAAATATATCTATCCGCATCGAATCGAGTTTGTATAGGCAAAAAGTTGTGCAAGAGAAAAAATGAGAAGGATGGTTATTCGGGAAAATCACGAACATGGGCGGCCTCTGCATGCATGGTGTCGAACTCTAGAATCTTTCTATATATATCTATATCAATACATATATACACTTTTATCAGGAACACTTATTGAGTTGTGCTTGCACTTTGGTTGAAAGGTTTGAAGCTATCACGCATGAAAACACCAATCAAATTGAGCAGGAAAAGTTGGGGTGTGTGAGAAAGAAGGAAGGCTACGAAGCCCTGGAAGGGACACATGAAATAAAAAAATAAAAACTCTTCAAAATTCTGAGTTATAACTCGGAATTTCGAAGAGTTTTTATTTTTTTTATTTTATGTGTCCCTTTCCAGGCCTTCGTAGAAGGCATCAGGATTAATTTGAATAAAATATGTGGCTTTAGTTACCTTTACCTATATATCTATTCATCTAATGTGATATACCTAAGTCTTGAGTGCGCGGTGCATGCTTGAATAAGTTTTTCCCATTCAGAAAGAAGGAGTTTTTGATTTGAGTATATAGAAGATGATATTGGTACCGATATATCCATAGCCTGTCTTGAGTTATAACGATTGGTTTATTTAGAATTTTCATTCATGTATATTTACTGATGTGAATAAGACACACCGTTTCCAAAATGAAGATATATACATGGCAGTGTCAATATTCTATTTTCAATAAACGAAGGCTTACAAGAATCAAGAATCTCTAAATTTAATTTCACATAAATACCTTATACTGCTCCCTTTTGTAACACAAATATCATATCAAATAAAAATTGACTGCAAGACCCCCAAAAACAAATTCCATATCTTAAATGGGAGTCGATATAGAGCAAATTATATACCAGTTTCGCTATATGTCTAATATCTTTAATAGTTTTAATAGTTCCCGCGAGATTTTGTTCTGTAAAACACCCAGAGGCTAACTTTTTCCTCAATTTGTCAATATGTTCTTCAAACCTTAATTTATTGTCAATGTGTAAACCCAGAAATTTTGTTACGCATCAGAATTATTATTATAGGTACCAAGAAACAATTCTTGCATCAAGTTGCAATGAAAAGTGAGGATATTCGTTTTCGAAATAATCAATGAAAACATATTGGAATCACATCATACCAATCTTTTACCTATACTCTTGTAATATCATCAACAATAATTTGTTGCAATTTCGATACATCTCGATTGTGCCACAGAATCGTCGTGTCCATCTGCAAACTGCATGTGTGAATTTTCCTCGAATATCAATATAGTTGCTATCAAATCATTTATATAGAGCAGAAAGAGAACTGGGTTCAGCACTGACCCTTGAGGTACTCCACACTCAACTTCTAATTTATAACACAACTTTGAGTTCTTCCAGACAAATATACGACTCAAACCATTGTACTGTATTGTATAGGACTTTATCTCTCTAAACCCGCATATCTTTCCAATTTTTTCAGTAGAATTTTGTGCTGGTTTACGCAATCGAACGCCTATGTCAGATCACAAAATACTGCTGCGACAGCTATAGACATGTTGTAACACTTGAAACAGATTATACATTGCATCACCTGTACTTTTTTCACTCTGGAATCCAAACTGGACACAATTAATGATTTTATGCTTTATAGGTGCTTTGCTTATTGCATGATGACTAAATATTACTTCATGCAAAATTTAACGTTTATTTGCCACCATCACCTTTATTGGTTCGTGATTATCTCGAATAAAAATCAAGAATAAAGATGTTACTTCCGATGCTATACCTATATACCTAATTTAACTTCGCTGAAAGCTATAACGATGATAAGTAGGTATATTTTATACAAAAGTTTCAGGCAAACTTGTTCAGTCTTCAAACGCGTTCAATACTGAATTTGACAAACACTGATGTATAGAAAAAATGGTATCGCTACTAAAAACTGAAAACAATATAAGCAAACCTCCGACTGACCTGCCGACATGGACTCCAGGACCAACCAAGTAAACCGCGGCGGCTCCACACAAGAACGACAGAAGAGCACACAGTCAATCCATGTGAAAAAAAAACACCGTATCGGACCAACAGTCACCACAAAACCCGCACTCGTCCCGCAAAACAGCCAACCGACGCGTTCCTCGAAAGAAAACCCACTCGATCCGATCGCCGAATCCAATAAACAAACTGACTAACTATATAAATAAATCAGTGATCGGGATATAGCACTCTTGATGTAAGACTCTTTAACTCGAAGTGTGCTTAACTCGCCTAAGCGTACTCTTAGAGTGTCCTCCAAGAGTACATGGTCCTTGTGCCGTGGCCACGGTGCTTCGAACGGGAGAGGCGTGGCCATGGTCGATTCCACCAATGGGCGCGTCGGTGGGCGTGGCGAGTCGCGCGAGCGATCCTGTGCCTTATATCACCGGAGGATAAGGGTGAGATTGGCGTGTGAGGGGCTCACGATGAGGGTCCCATTGAGCCGGATTAATCTCGAGGAAGCTGTCGCTCATCCCATCGGCCTATTGTGAGCCACTCGAGGCACAAGAGGGCCGTGCTCGACTGTGATATTGTATATTTATATAGTTTTATTGGGCATATTGATTTGAGGCTGGAGTACGATTTTTAGAGCGTCATGAATCTCGCTTTTCTTGATGTGGGAGTTTGATGGTCGAGTGGATTTAAATTGCGATTAGTGTGATGATCTTGTGGTACTGTGATCATTGATATTTTGTATATACAATTTGTTTCAAAAAAATGTGGCCCGTTGCTAGAACATTGCAAAACAAGTTGGATTTGTTCAGTAATAAAATTTCGTCACGACATCTCTATTTAGGATTCTTTGGTGATTCTAAGACGAAAAGATAGGTATACAAAATATATAGGTAGATTTTTGTGTTCTAAAATTTGTTGATGAAACAATTTCTCTTCTATCCTTCCAGTTTCGCCAGAAACGACCCCAACTTTCGATTTTCAAATGGGACACCCTGTATTGTATTCCATAATCCGTTAGGATATCCATCACATATTATAAGTATATAGTTATTTTGATTGGAAATGACCCGGGCCCCGCCCCTACCCACCCCACTTCTCATGATCCATTACTTATGGGACACCCTGTATAGTGTCACGGATCAGGAGTTTTACGACCTTGTGAGGTTGGCCGAAATACTTATTCGGTCCTACCTACTTGATTTTGGGGAAGATTATGTATTTACTTATAGGTAGGTAGGTACTACCGAATATTTTTTTCGGTGTACTTATATATATAAGTACCTACCTAGTCTTGTTTTTTTTGTTGCCTGTTTTGTTCAAAATTAGATAAGGTTGGTTTAGGTAGATGATTTAAGTCGCAACCTTTTTTTTTATTATGTACCTATTTGTTTGCTATACCTATAGTGATAAAATAGAGAAAAAGTGAAGTATAGGTAGTAGCAGTAGTAGGTACAGTCATCTTCAGAAAACATGTCGCACATGGACGATGATAGCATTCTTAATAACTCCTGCAATAAGACCGCTGACACCGTCCAACCGCGACATGATCTCTGAAGACGACTGTACATTGTCAATTGGACTAAACTTATTGAATAAAATTGATTTCGATATTTTCTATCGAATACACAATTATTATGCCTAATACAGGGTGTCTGTAAAAGGTCTTTACAAAAACATACCACATATTCCTTAGACCAAAATAAGTCGATTTAAGTAAAATTACCTTATAGAACAAAGTTGCATCGTTTGGGCTCCAGAGGGCCTTGATGTTACAATTTTTAAATCGTTTTTCCCATATAAATTCAAAACGGCATATTCGATTCTGCTGAAATTTGGTATAAGGTACTTGAGGCAAATATGGCCCACCTTTGCGAAAACATTTTTTTAGTCTCCATCTGAATTTTTTAGGTGAACATATTTCACATCAAATTGAATGTTATATAGGTATCCTACTCTCATACGTATATGACATAATTACCAGTAATTACCCAAATAGAAATTTGTGGAAATTGTGAATTGAATTGCAGAACCCTGTAATTGGGCTTAAAAATTGAGAATAATGAGTTTCTAACTTTTATTATAGGAAAAAAAGTGGAGGGTACAAAAATAATGAAATAAATAGAGAACATTGAAAAAAATACAATACTTACTTAAAGTTTTAAAAAAGTATTGTAATTTCTAGTTAGCAGCATTTGGAAACATACGAAAGTAAGTGAATTAACGGTAACTATAAAGAAAAACACATTCAGCTTCAGCCCAACACATATACTTCATGGTACCAAGTGTTAGGTATACATCTTACACAACCACAAAACCAAGAT